TTCACAGATGCTGCCAGACCTGCTGAATTTCTCCAGCATTTTCTATGTTTATTATCTATTTATTAGTCTAGGTATCTGATTATTTGGACATATTATCTATCTCCTTGGCAGTGATGTTTATTTATCTATCAAGTGTTCATTTTCCCCAGATCTATCTGGGTGCTGTATCTATTTCCACTCTGGGCACTTATTAAAATATTTAGCTAGAGCATTGAATCTATTCATCTCTTTCAGAATGATATGTTTTCAGCTGTTTAGCTGCAGTATTTATCTCACTGGACTCTGTATTCTCTTTTGGATAACTGTAACCTTTATCCAACTGGTACCTTTCTTTAACTCTCTAATATCTATTACTTATGTGCATAACCTATATATTTACCTATTGACATGGGTTATGGATTTTATTTTTTTGTTATGTATTCAGCTTATTTGCCTATGTACGCTATCCTTTTATCTCTTTGAGTGGAGTACTCATTGTCTTCCTGGGACTAAATTCATCTCTCTGGGTGCTATATGTATTAATCTATGCTACTGTATCTATTTCTTCATGTGAATATAATATCTTGTTCTTTGTACTTATCTATTTAGCTTCTGCATCTCTTACCTGCTATAGTACAATATCTGTCTTTTTGAGCACTTCATCTATTAATCTTTCTGCATATTTTATCTGTTTATCTATCTGGATAAGGTAGAATCTATTTATCTCTCTGATACTATATCCATTAATTCACCTGGTATGGAATCTATTTATCTATCTGGATAATGTAACTATACATCTATTGTATATGTCCCGATTTATTTATCAATGTACATTATACATTATCTCTCTTAGGACTGTATATCACTGCATGAGTTCCCAGCCCAACCATCTTCTGCTGTTCATCAATGATCTGCACTCCTTCATGAGGCCAGACATCATAATGTTTGCTAATGTTTACACAGGGCTCAATTCCATTTGCAAGATCTCAAAAAATGAGGTAATTATGCCTGCCTGCTGCAAGACCTTGACAACATCTATCTTGAGCTGATAAGTAGAAAGTAACTTTGGGTCAGAAAATGCCTGATAAAGGTCACTTTGAATCTGAAAAAGCCACTTTCCAACTTTAAGTGTGATTGCTATCACTGAATATCCCACTATTAAATCCTAGAGATCATCACCAACCAAGAACTTAACTAGAAAAATTACACAAAGACTATGGGTACAAGACTAGGTGAAAGGCTGGATTGTCATCAGTGAATAAGTCATGTCCTGATGTATCAGCGCCTGAAAGGCACAAGTCAGGGGTGTGATGGAATACTCTCCGCTTGCCTGCAGCATCAACAGTACTCACGAGGGTCATCATCATCAGGTCAATTTAGCCTGCTTGATCGGTAGCATATCCACCACCTTAAACCACCACATGCTGTTCCAGTACAGTTACAACACTGGTATCTAACTGGAAATGTGGAAAATTGCCCAAGTATGTCCCGTACACAAAAAGCAGGACAAATCCAACCCGGCCAATTACTGTCCCATCAGTCTACCCTCAAACATCAGGAAAATGATGGAAGGTGTCATCAACAGTGCTATCAAGCAGCACCTGCTCAGCAATAACCTGCTCAGTGATGCCCAGTTTGGGTTCCGCCAGGGCCACTCAGCTCCTGACCTCATTACAGCCTTGGTTCAAACATGGACAAAACAGCTGAATTCCAGAGGTGAAGTAAGAGTGACAGCCCTTGATATCAAGGCTGCATTCAACCGAGTGTGGCATCAAGGAGCTGTAGCAAAACTGGAATCAATGGGTATCAGGGCAAACTCTCAGGTGGTTGGAGTCATACCTGGCACATAGGAAGATGGTCGTGGTTGTGGGCGGTCAATCATCTCAGCTCCAGGACATCTCTGCAGGAGTTCCTCAGGGTTGTGTCCTAGGCCCAGCCATCTTCAGCTGCTTCATCAATGACCTTCCCTCCATCATAAGGTCAGAATTAGGGATGTTCACCGATAATTGCACAATGTTCAGCACTATTTGTGATACCTCAGATACTAAAGCAGTCCGTGTTCAAATGCAACAAGATCTGGACAATATCCAGGCTTGGGCTGACAAGTGGCAAGTGACATTTGTGCCACACAAATGCCAGGCTATGACCATCACCAATAAGAGACAATCTGACTACCACCCCTTGACATTCAATGGTGTTACCATTGCTGAATCCCCCACTGTCAACACCCTGGGGGTTACCGTTGACCAGAAACTCAACTGGACTCACCACATAAACACAGTATCTACAAGAGCAGGACAGAAGCTGGGAATACTGCGGTGCATAACTCACCTCCTGATTCCCCAAAGCCTGTCCACCATCTACAAGGCACAAGTCATGAGTGTGATGGAATACTCTTCACTTGCTGGATGAGTGCAGCCCCAACAACACTCAGAGCTTGACACCATCCAGGACAAAGCAGCCTCCTTGATTGGCACTACACCCACAAACATCCACTGTCTCCACTATCAACGCTCAGTAGCAGCAGTGTGTACTGTCTACAAGATGCACTGCAGAAATTCACCAAAGATCCTCAGACAGCACCTTCCAAACCCACAACCACTTCCATCCAGAAGGGCAAGAGCAGCAGATACATGGGAACACCACACCCTGCAAGTTCTCCTCTGAGCCACTCATGATCCTGACTTGGAAATATATCGCCGTTCCTTCACTGTCACTGAGTCAAAATCCTGGAATTCCCTCCCTAATGGCATTGTGGGTCAACCCACAGCAGTGGACTGCAGCGGTTCAAGAAGGCAGATCACCACCACCTTCCCAAGGGCAAAAAGGGATGGGCAAGAAATGCTGGCCAGCCAGCGATGTTCAGATCCCACAAATGAATAGAAAAAAAATTCACTCCATCTGCCACCAACACATCATGCCCACAATGTGTACCAAATACAAAGCAGAGAGACACCAAGGCAACTTCTGCTACATCTTCCAAACCTGCAAACTCTGCCACCCAGACAGATAAGAGTAGCAGACATGTGAAAACACCACAACCTAGTAGTTCCCCTCCAAGTTAAGAACCATCCTGATTTGGAACAATATCACTGGTCCTTCATCATCGCTGTAACAATATACTGGAATGATCTACCCGACAATATTGTGAATTTGAATACGATATATGGATTACAACAGTTAAAATATGCAGTTTGACACTATTTTTTCACTGGAGCATAGGAGGTTAGAGGTGAACTTATAGAAGTTTATAAAATAATGAGGGGCATAGATAGGGTTAATGGTAGTTGTCTTTTCATTAGGATGGGGGATTTTCAGACTGGGGCACATTTTTAAGGTTAGACGAGAAAGATTTTGAAAAGCCACGAGGGGCAGATTTTTTACATGGAGCGTGGTTCGCATGTGGAATGAAAGTCCTGAGGAAGTGGTGGAGGTGGGTACAATTACAACGTTTAAGAGACATTTGGATGAGCATATGGATAGGAAATGTTTGGAGGGATATGGACCAGGAGCAGGCAGGTGGGACTAGTTTAGTTTGGGATTTGGTCAGCATGGACTGGTTGGAACAAAGGGTCTGTTTCCGTGCTGTATGACTCTATGACTGTATGACATCTGATACCCATACTGTATGAATGAATAAAAGAAATGTTTATCAGTGTACTTCATTCATTTATCTGTCTGGGCACCATAAAAACAAAACCATTAGACAGCAACATCTATCCATCTCTTTGAGTACTGTATCTATTTCTCTGTGTATTGTATGTACTTATCTGACTGTATTCTCTATTGCTATGTCTCCCTAGGTCACAAACCATTTATCTGCCAGAGTGCTGTATCTGTCGAGTTCTGAATTATTTTTATCTGTGTATGTTGTCTGTAGGTATTAAAGTACCTTTATTCTGCCTACTGGCATCCGTAAACATTTTGTGCAACATAAGAAAAACAGAAAGTGATAGAAAAACTCCTCAGGTCTGGCAGCTTCTGTTGGGAGAGAAAACAGACTTAGGGTGTCAAATTGAATAACTCTTTTTCAGAGCTGCTTGGGAAAAGTGCTGGAGGAGAGACACATTAGACTTCAAATGTTTACTCTGTTCCTCTCTACAGATTCTGCTAGACCTGCTGAGCTTTGCTAGCACTTTCTGTTTTTATTTCAAATCTCCAGTATCTGCAGCATGTTTATTTTATGTAAGGCAACTGCTTCCAGTGTTTAGGGCAGGAACTAGTCCTGTGTGGTGTTTATCTGTGTACAGAAGCTGCTGCACACATTGTGTAATTATTGGGTCATGTATGTAAAACAACAACAACTTCCATTTATAAAGCACCTTTAATGTAATGAAATATTCAGAGGTGCTTAACAGGAGCATTATAAAATAAAGTATGAGAAGGAGCCACATGAGGAGATATTAGTTAGATGACCAAAAGCTTGATCAAAGAGGTAATTGTGAAGGAATGTCTTAAATTTGGAAAGTGAGGCACAGAGATAGAGGGATGTAGCTAGGGTACTCTAAAGTTTAGGACCTGGGTCACTGAAGGCACAACTGCCAATGATGGAGACATTGTAGTTGGGAATACAGCAGAGGCCAGACTTAGATATCTGAGAGTGTTGTGGGACTGGAATAGATTCACAGAGTTAGTGATGGCCCAGTCTTGGATGAATTTGAAAATGAAGATGAGAATTTTAAAGGTAAGTTATGGTTTGACCAAGAGCCAATGTAGGTCATTGAGCATCGGAGTGAGACCTAGATATGTACCCATGTACAAGCTTAAAGTGTGCATAACACTGCTTGATACATAAGCACCTGAGTAATCACACTAATGCACAGCCTATGTGCATGTGTATCACTAGCTAAACGGTCTATTACTCTTCAAGTGGTGGCTTTACAATAGCACTGAAAATAAGAGTTTGAGCACTTAGTTCTGTCACAACAGCTTTCACTAAAACACAGGTACCGTCTGTCCTATTCCAGACCTATATACGAATCTGGATTCGATTCAGTTGAGACTTCTCTTTGCTGTTGCAGGAGATTTGGAAGGAAATGTGCTGCTTGTCAGCAGGGAATCCCTCCTACCCAGGTGGTCCGGAGGGCGCAGGATTTTGTCTATCATCTGCAGTGTTTTGCTTGCATCATTTGCAAACGCCAACTTGCCACCGGTGATGAGTTTTACCTCATGGAGGACAGCAGACTGGTCTGTAAGGGAGACTATGAAGTGGCAAAGCAAAGAGGTGAGTTTACTCCCACCCTGACTCTCATTAGTAAAACAGTGAAACATTATTATTGTTCCTGAACATCCAAATGCATCAACAATTCGATTAAGTTAATTTTTTGGTGCAATTTATATGTCAGCCATGAAATCGTGTTTTATTGACAGAAGTTATGAGTAAAATGCAATTGGGCAGTGATACATGTCATCGAAGCAAGCACCTGGAGAACAAAAGTATAGGCTGATGCCTTTTACTTGTTTTGTTTTCTCTACATATTTGCTTTAAAATGAGAAGGTAGGTTAACCATATTTGTTTTTTAATTCTGCTTTGCCGGAACATTAGATCAATCATATCCCTAAAGATGAATTATACATATGACATGTTTATAAAGTCTGAATGCAAATCTAAACTTGAATAACTTTAGAGGCACATGTGACAGAAGCAAGTTATAAACAATATATGAAAACAGAATTCACAGTTTTGTTACATCAGGTTCAAATTACAGGCTTAAAAATAACCGTTATCTTTTGTGGTACATCACTCAATTTAATTATTAATAATAATTAGAAGCAGGTTTAAACTATTTGGCCCCTTGAGCCTCCTGTGCCATTCAATAAGATCATAGCTGATCTGGTAGTGGTCTGAGCTCCACTTTCTTATCTGCATCCCTTAACCCCTTACTCCTTTGTTGATCAAAAGCTATCTAATTTAGCCTTGGATATATTCATTGATGCAGGTTCCACTATGTTTTGGTAGAGAGAAATCCACAGGTTCATAACCGTCTGAGAGAAAAAAAAACATATTTCCACATTTCTGTGCTAAAATTGAAAATTTGTCAAAAACATTCTTTCTGAAATAAAATAAAATGAGCACATTAACATTCAAACCATATATATATATCTATACGTTCATAAATTCATGTACATACACGTTCATTTAAAGGTAAAGTCACCATAATCTTATTCCCTCATTAGAGAGGGACAGCTGGTGATGGCTTAACCCAAGGGTCACCATATCCCAAGTGATGGGAAGTGTTGAAAAGGAGAACCCTTTGTGGTAACCTCAGTCAGTGAAGGAATTGAACCCACATTGTTTGCTTCACTAATAGATCATTCGGTCTACTGAGCTAACTGTCTCCCAATACGTTATGTACACTGACTCATTCAGAACAAATGACCAAACACCTTGTGACAGACAGCTATATTGACACCCTGTTACCCAAGTACAGGTATAGTCACAAACAATGCTGATGTAGGTTACCCTCCTCCTATGGCTAACAACCTGTTCCAATTCCATTCCCGCATTCAGTCCAGGAGGGGAGGGGGTGTGAAATCTAAGCAGATGATTGTTAAGCAGGTTCTGGAAGAGGTCAGTCTGCTCCTGACAATTGAGCTCACGCAGATATGGACTTTCTTATTTACTTGCAGAAGCAGAAACCAATGCCAAGAGGCCCCGAACCACAATCACTGCCAAGCAGTTGGAAACTTTGAAGAATGCTTATAACAATTCCCCCAAACCAGCTCGCCATGTGCGAGAACAGCTTTCATCTGAGACCGGGTTGGACATGCGTGTGGTCCAGGTATGGAAAGTTTTTACTGGAGTTTTTACTTTCTTCAAACTGTAACTTCCAAAAGGAGAGAAACTCTAGACCTATACAACAGAACCCTTATGGAAGAGGAAAGGTCATTGATACAGGTCTTTGACTAGATGCAATGAAGGAGATGATGCCCATCCGTTACCTGCTGCTCCCTGTTTTCATCTACTGATTGTTCACCTTTTAAGCTCCTTACATCCTACCTTTAATCACTCAGAGAGCAGCGGTCTAGCAACAGCCATCAACAAAATCTGCAGCACTCTAAATTAATAACAATCCTGGTTTGCTGGTGGAACATATGTAAAGCTAAGTTTAAAGGAAATCCTCTTCACAAATAACTGTTGGACAATTTCTAATCTCACTAACTACAATGATGAAAATTACCATAAAACTTCATTTGGGCTCTTATGATCACAGTGAAGTTCAAGGTAAGAATAATGTCACTTTAAATCCTATTCCATCACCTTTTAGGTAGGCAATGTCTGTGCCAGGAATGGAATATTCCCCCTGCTCTCTAACCTCAATATCGATATTCCTGTCCCAAATTGTGAGTCTCAGTTCAGATATAATTATACACGACATGCAAATAGATAGAGCTGATACCAACAACCTGGAGAGAATGGACTGCTTAATCTTGTGCCACAATGAAATAGTCTCTAGGTTTCCATGGAGATTCTTCATATTTCTAGATGTTGTGTGACATGTTCGAAAATTATTGCCCAAGCCTGAGGTAAGCACATTTTACAATGACACTGCACAGAGAGATTTTAGCAATTTGAGATTAATGCTTGAAGGAGGTCACAAAAAAAAAGGCTACTAGGAAAGACCGAGGACCAGTTGGATAGATGCCTCAGAGAACAGGCCTAGGCACAAAGGACCAACTGGTCCTCAGAATCCTATGAATTAATATCACAACGTAGTTTGATCTGAAACTATATGACTAAGATCAACAAATTAATGGAGCAATATGAGAAAGGTTTATATTTACATTACCACTTTTATACAAAGGTGAAGTGATCCCCATTTCATGTTTTCCAAATCAAGCTGTTCAGGAATATTAATACATACCTCAGAAGCAGGTGGCACGTGGTTCTCTGGGCACAGAACTAGGAACACTTCCACAGCACCACAAGAGCCCCTGATCCCCACTTGGCATGGATGGCATGAATGGGGAGAAACTCTTTCCATTTGTAGGAGGGCCAATAACAAGACCACACCAATTTAAGATAATTGGCAGGTGAATCAGAAGGATTTCTTTTTTAATGCAGCTGGTGATTATAGTCTGGGACACACTTGCTGAAAGGGTAATGGCAGCAGATTCACTAACATTTTCGAAAGAGAATCAGATAAATACTTGGAAGAATTTCCTTTTTATGACATGAGAAAAAAGATCAGGAGATTTGGATTAATTGGGTAATTTGACTGAAGTGCTGGCATGGATATGACAGGCCACATGGCCTCCACCTGTACTGTATTGATCTAAGATTCTATCTATGTATGTCTGACTGGAGGAGAAGGACTTATCTTTCTATTTGCCTGAATGAGCCGTTAGCCTGAGAGTGAAAGCTACCAACCAGTTCTGCAGCTTTCAGTGAACATTACCGTAATTGTACAATTTTTTTTCTTTATTCATTCATGGGATGAGGGCACCGCTGGCTAGACAGCATTTATTGTCCATCCCTAATTACCCAGAGGGCATTTAAGAGTCAACCACATTGCTGTGGGTCTGGAGTCACATGTAGGCCAGACCAGGTAAGGATGGCAGTTTGCTTCCCTAAAGGACATTAGTGAACCAGATGGGTCTTTCTGACAATCGACAATGGATTCATGGTCATCATTAGACTCCTAATTCCAGATATTTTATTGAATTAAAATTCCACCATCTGCCATGGCAGGATTCGAACCCAGGTCCCCAGAACATTTTCTGGGTTTCTGGATTAACGGTCCAGCGATAATACCACTGGCATCCCCTGTATGGGTGTAATGTTATCATATGAATGTTTGGCACATTTGAATCAAATTGTTTGCTGTGCTACTTTCAAAGTGGGAGTACAGAGAGAGGAATTTGGGGTAAGTGTGTTAAGCCTTCCTGTTATAACATCATGGATAATGATGTTATCATGATTGTTAGATTTTACATTGAATTTTATGGCACGACAACACACCATTCAGACTAATAGCTCCTTGCACAAAAACATCCACCCACCTTACTATATCTAACCATATCAACGTAACATGTTTCTGGACATGGTATGTCAGGTCAAGACATTACATACAAGGGTAGGGCAATTACTTTTCCAGTATCTAATAAGAGGTATTAGAAATAACAACAACAAGTAACTTTTATTGTATATAGTTGCCAACGTAGCAGAATGTCTGAAGACTTCACTAAAGCCTTATCAGGCTGACACTGAGCCATAGAAAGATATATATTAAGACAGGCGCTCCTATGCTTGGTCAGATTGCATTGTTTTAAGCAGGATCCTAAAATGAATAGAGAGTGGTGTAAAGGATTAGGGAGGGAATTTCAGGATGTGTAACTGGCTGGAGGCACAGCCATCAAGAGTGGCGTGAAGGAACTGGGAGATAGACCATATATACACATAGAAAGTAGTATCGAAGTATTGATTCTATAAATGATTATTGGGTTGTTACAGAGGTTTTCTTTATAGTGACTAATAACATTAGAAGTGTGACCATTACCTCTATCCCATGCTTATGGTCCCACTGGGCCAAATTGTCTAATTAGTTTCTGGTTAATGGTTAGGTTAAATTTCTTTTTATTCTAGCTCACTGCGAGCACAATCAGACCAGATCCTAGGAGTGAAACGGAAACCACACACTGAAGGACAGGAGGACATAGTTATAAAGAGTAATAATCTCAGCAGATTCCTTAGAAAAATATAAACTGTAAAGGAAAGGATACCGTTGTCCTTTGTAGCAGTTCTTAATGTGATCCAGTTAGGTCAATGGATGTGGGAAATGTGGAGTTATCCAACACACAATGCAACACAGTGGCTTTTGAATCAGCAGTTTTTAAGGCACATGCTGACTCTGCAAAGCTACCATTGCCCTTCTGATCAATTTTTACATTGCATTCCTGCTGTCCTGACCTTCAATATATGGCTGGTGCTTGGCTCATGAAGTTAGCCTGGGGTGAGAAATCATTCCTGGACAAGTAGAGGTGTTTCTGGGGGTTAAAAGGTAGTACATAACACCTATAAAACAAACCAGAAAATCTTTGCCAGTATTTAAGCTTCACATGAGAATTGTCCTTCTACATCCTATCTACACCTTCTACCTCCAATCCCTTTCAACATTTCTTTCTAATCTTTTCTCCCTTGATTGTCTACTAGCTTTCCCTTATTTGTACCTACTCCTTGTACTGCAACTACTCACTGGTAAGCAAGTGTACCCTGGACTCCTTATTGAATTGATTTGTGACTATATTTAGTTCTGATCTTACTGGTAAATGAAAGAAGGTATTATTTACCTGTAACAGGTAATCCTACAACATGTCTCCAGACTGTTAATTGTCTAAAGAAAGAAATTAGTTGATAGGATCAAGGTCACAATGTTTTCATTGGTGAATCATCCAGTCTGACAATCTCTATGAGCAAGTGTTCAATTACAGTGCCTGCTTACTGAAGGTCATTGATGAAACAGGCTTACAACTCACTGTACATAAGCTGTTAATGGCATTGCATTCAAAGAGATGTACAGTTCTGATTATTTAGCGTGAATAAGAACAAGCACCAAACAGGAAATCCTATTCCTTCTTAATTGCATGTAATTGAACATCCATAGATACTGATTAATTCTTTCATTTCTTTTGTGATTCGTCACCACTCAATGTGATGCATGACTCTCTAGGACTCATGTTAGACAATGAAACTTCTACTCTGGGTTGGAATGGGAATAAAGATTGCTTGACAACAAGGTGCAGGGCTGGATGAACACAGCAGGCCAAGCAGCATCATAGGAGCAGAGAGGCTGCTCCTATGATGC